ATGCATCCAACCATGATGTCACACACTCCTCAGCTAACTTTGAGCTCACTGTCTGCTATGTTCTCGTAACGAATTTTACCAAAGGAAAGCTACAAAAGTGAACGACGCCATATTTATACTCGCTCTTTTAATTTTTTTTTATTTTTTTCAATAAAATATACTATTTTATCATGGAAAGATATATCCAACAACAAGTAAAATTATTTATTTAGTAACCCGAATTGGATGATATGGACTTGGACAGTATGTGGTTTCAACACGACGTGGCCACAAGCCAAACAGCGAATGTCACAATCAATTTATTGAAAAACAAATTTGTCAACTTATTATCCCAGCCAATGGACCGCCTCGGTTGTGCGATTCGACGCTGATAGTCTATTTTCTGTGGGGCTGCGTCATGTCTATGGTATATGCCAACTAGCCAGCGAAGATTAATGAACTTCGTACGAACATGAAATTRCTTGAAAAAAGTCGAAAATTGGATTCAGCGTCTGGACTTCTGCAAGGATGCCCGCGGTTGCCATGCAAGAAAGAAAAAGCCGCTATAACTAATATTAGARTCTTCGAACATTTGGCAGACTTTACCCAATGCGATTGGTGATTTTATGTGAGATAATTTAATGAAACCCTGGGAACATTTTTTTATATKTGACATGTTAATAGTATGTGTTACTGGCAAAAATAAATAAAATCGCGTCAACACTACCCCCCAACTCCCATATATTCCTGAAGAAATTACTCGGACCTTAATTCTTGCAGTTTGCAAGAGTATGATTTCGGTTACAGTCGAACTTAGACCTTTCTTACTTGTCTGTATTGTTTTTGTTGGATATAAATTTCCAGAATTTATAATTCATTTGACAGCCGTCTTCACATCTATCCCACCAGGAAATACCCATATATCTAAACAAAACATTATAGCATGTTCCTACCTTCTGAGTTTGGAGAAAATAAACGGTATATTTTGGAGGTTCAGAGACAAGCTTAAGTTATTGGTCAAAACGGTTCAAGCTCGACGACTCAAGTGGGAGTATTGGTGTTATAAGGCCGCTAAGAATTTATTTTTCACGAAGAAAACGTGCGTAAAGCATTACTGGTAGCATTATAAAGAACAATTTGCCTAGAACAATTTGCCGGAATTGCATCACTTATCGCATCCGAAATCAGCACATCCAATTAGCTTAGAAGAAGAGGCATAAACATCTTAATTATGCCATTCCCGTCACATTAAACGACGTTCTCGCGGACAGCTGTCATTGTAATTGACATAGTTCGAATACTCGTTTAACGATACTTTTGCGCATTTTACTGTTAATTTTACTATCATCAACAGCTGTGCGAGAATCTTAAGTAGCTGTTTGATGGCGTATCAGCAGCAACAACAACAACGACTAATTATATTTGTTTGTACAAGTACATAAATTCCACAAACACCGGTATAAGCAGATATTTAGGTACGTATGAAAATAACAGACTTATAGAGGGTCGATCATACGGATTTTGGTCAGGAACTATCTCCGATCACGGTAAATTGCTTGACACTTAAATAAGCTTATAGAAATATTATGCACCTCCAAAATCAGTATTAAGTTGAAAATATTAAATAATCATCTTCTGTAGGATCGAAAGTCTCTCATATCTTGGAGAAGAATAAAAAGCACTGAATGTAAACGACGATGACAGCCRCAGCTTTCGGGTCCGTAGCTGTTCTGAGCCAACTTTTTGTGAAATTACTGTGCGATACAACATTTTGGTCCACTTCGATAGCCAAAAGGGCGGAAAAAATTATGAAATATGAATGAAAAAACTGAAAACATAAATTTGGACGATTTTAAGTTGTTGCAAGATCGGCACATAGTSCTGCTAAAGCCGATTTATTAATCCTCATGGTAAAGTAGATATTTTATCAACTGTTTAAATGAAGTCARACCGACACYTTCATTGCAATTTGACTTCGKCGCTTGTCCTTAGTTTGGAGCMGCCATCCACAGATTAATTTACTAARGATCCCTAACACATTGTGTATATTGTAGCAGTTGAAACTGCTATCTATCCAGAATAAYTTGAAACATTTATTCTGCTTTCAAAGAGTCTGCGCGTGACATTAACTACCTCTTTGCTTACCCCACTAAAACCGCTCACTTAACACCTCTTTAGTTCGACCCTTTGGAAGCAGCCCGATTCCTAGACTTGCCACTAAGAGATTTCGATGTCAATTGYTACACTTCTCCCCAAACGGGAATAARGTACTCTCTACAAARCAACARYAACAACTTAATACASATTTCCGTKTGTTAATCAAGTAAGATAYGAGCRAAARGTACCGAAATKCACGACCTGAAAAACCTAAAGCCTCAAAGCACTCAAGTTCGTCAAAAGGTCTCTACAACACTACCAAATAACCACTTATAATATTATAGATTGCGGTMTACTAAACAAGTAAGATATAAGCACTAAAGTAACGTAGTCACGACCTGAAAAGCCAAAAGCTTCAAAGAACAAAAGTTCGTAAAAAGCTCCCTACAAGTCGAATAACGTTTACTTAATAAGATAAAACTATTTTTTATAAAGAGCTTTGTCTTTGATCAGATATTCGAAGATTGTCGGATTGTCTGGTCAGCAATCTAAGCCAAATAAAACTTTTTTCCATACTAGATAGTACTTGGTATTGTTCGATCAGTTTGTAATGGCAGCTATGTGATATAGTAGACCGATATCGACAATTTCGACAAATGGCTACGCTACTGAGGAGAAAAGTACGTATGCAAAATTTCAGAACGATAACTCAAAAAATATATGGATCACCCTGTACCGAGATGTATGAGCAAATTCCGGCCTAGTGTGCATATTTACCACCGTTAGTTGCTGTTGTTGTTGTGCTATGCACGTAATCAACATGAATTGTGTCGCAAACAAATTTGCACAACACAAACATACACACACACACACTCACACAGTGTGAGCTAACTACATAAACACAAAATTTGTTGTGAGAAGTATATATTGTAGTACAAGTTTGTATGTGTTGCTTGTATTTTACAAAGCTGCTGATGCCGCGGTGGGGTGTTGCTTTGCGGTTAGAGCGGGCGGCGAATAGCAACAATTCATTAAATTAAGTGCCAGCAATTTGATGTGAAATCATGATACGACACAGAATTCAACAATCAACATTGTTGGGCAGCCTGTAYAGCGCAAGTAGCCGGGTGTGCGTGTGTGTAAGTTTGTGTGCAGCGCCTACATTCTACGCAGACAAATGGCAGCACAATTGACATGTGGCCAAAAAATAACAACACAGAACAATAATAAGTACAGCAAACTGTGGTAAGCAGCAGGCAGCCGAATGTCTCCAAACGAAGTGCGATATGATCGAAAAGTCTACTACTTAGTCATAAAAAGAGCGCACAGTCTTATGACAAAAACTACAAGAAACAAAAAAAAGAACAACAACAAAAATGTAACAGTACAAAGTTTCCACAAACAATCATCTACCATATTTCGGCCGCCGACCACCCACCGACGTGGCCTAAGTCCTTCGGCATGCTCGCACATGGCCAACACATTGGCCTCGTCAGGACTACGGAGCCAACGTGCAAGCCTTGAGATGACATGGACCATATCAATGCTGATAAATCCCGCTGTGCTGCTGACCTGCTTAGGCAGCAGCAGGCATGGCTTAGTTTGTAATTGGCAAAAAAAAAAAAAAAAAATCAAAGCTACAGAACGCCAGCAGAAAAGCAAAGAAATAAAAAGTGGAAAAAGGTACGAGTTCGATGGCGAGAAGGGGCGCGGAAAACACACTTGAGTGCAGCGCAATTATCCCTCCGAAAGATACTTGCAAAAATGAAGTCAATTTCCTTTCCGCATAAAAGTGTAACGACACTCGCTCGACGCCGCCGCCATAGCGCCAAACGGTACGTACGCGCTTAGCAGGCGAAACAAAACGTGGAAAGAAGTATGATTGCGGTAAGTAAAATGGAACAAAAGCTTAAGGAGCAATAGTTGAGAGTGCTAACACAAAAAAGAAAAAAAAAAACACAAAAAAACTACAAAAGACACTGRAAAAAAGGGTAAAATGTTAGTATACAAAATGACAAAAAAAAAAGAGCACGTAACGGTAACGATAAACGGAAATAAAATCGACTTGCCGAGTGATGTGGGCGTGGGCTAGTGAGCGGTAGCATAAGTACCGCAGCAGAAAGTGTGAAGCAGGCAAGCTGCTTGAGATTTTTTGYCACTTTCGTATAACCTTTTTCCCATTTTTTCCCCCAACGCAGTGCTGCCATATTAAAAATCTTCCTTTTTTTGTTTCCAGTTCCATTTCATCCTTGTT